ATAAGGGGTGATCCATAAAAAATGAGACTAATTTAAACAATGATATTTAGGTTATATTAGGTTTAATTGTCAAATTTAGTTTTAATTTGATTATTGAGAATTATAATTACTATTAGGCCCAAACTAGCCCATAAATTTGCTTTCAATCCTATTTATTAAACGCTTAGAGTGAGCGGTGTAAATTTTTAGCAGTAAATTTCAAAGCATAAAATGTGTGCGCAATAAAAATGGCACTAACTTTAAATCCTTTTAATTAACGAATTAATTTGAATTGAACATTGTTTTTGAGCGCGAATGCAAGAAAATGATATTCGAAATAATATGAGTGAGTTTCATTCCTTTCGATTGAATTTTTCCCCTGAAAAAGTGACCTCAAAGATGCAAAACTTGAAAAATTAAATTTTTATCGGTGAAAAAGGCCACTTTTTCAGGTGAAAAATTCAACCGAAAGGAATATAACTCGCTCACATAGCTTCAAATATGATTCTCTTTTATTCGCACCCAAAAAAAATGTTTAATTCAAATTAATTCGTTAATTAAAAGGATTTAAAGTTAGTGCCATTTTCTCTTGTATGCCTAATCTTATGTTAAAAGCTTGAACCGACAAAAAATTTTGCGCTTACTTTGAGCGTTGACTAAATGAGACTGAGGTCGAATATTTTGATCGAACTAGACATGGGCCTTTGCCAATTCTTAATAATTGAATTAAAACTAAATTTAATAAAATAAACCTAATAATTACCTAAATATCATTGTTTAAAGTTAGTCTCATTTTTTATTGACCACCCCTTAGAACTTGGATAATCTTGACTTTAAAATATAGCGAATTTCGAGCCATAAGAGCACCTACGGGCCGAGTAACCGAAGAAAGTTAATAGGCAAAGAAATCGTAAAAATTAGCTAAAATGGTCTGTACTTCATTCAACACTCATTTCGAGATCAAGCGTGAAAAGACATTCGAATGATTGAACCTAATCAACGCTATTAAGCTCAATCAAATCTGTTTACAATAATCATCATCAATGTAGATACATTTGTCAGTTGAGCAACTCATCTGAATCAAGAACTTTTAGTGCCATCTACATTCATTTTTACAAATGAATAAGGGTAAAAATCTGTAAAGTTTTAGACTCCAATAACTTGGATATTAATGATGTTAGTCTGAATTTTCATTGAACCAACATTTTGAATAAACTTTTGCTCGGTTTGATTGTTCACAAAACAATTTTTCAAAATCATTTCATGTTCAACTTATCACTATAATTTCAACATCATTACTGCATAACAATTGATTTCAATATTTCATTATATCTACAGTTTTACAGCATTCATTTGTTGCAATAAAAAAAAGGTTGAATAACGAGGCCTTTAATTTCAATGAAATAACTCAATACAACAGGAGACCTTGGATAGCGTCTAATGGAAAGGTAAAGATTGGAAAAGAGGTAAAACAAATTGAACCTAATTTTATTATCTTTGAATCAATAAATGCATTTACAGGCTATTTAACCTGCAAGTAAATTGATATCAGTTGATTAGCTTCATTATAAAGGTAAAATAGCCAAGCAACGATTGGAAATTTTCATCATGAACAAATTGATTAAACCGTTTTTTTTGCTGTTCCATGAAAAATGGAGCCAATTGAAATTTTAAACACAAGCTAATGTGCAAGAGGTTCAGTTGATCAAAGCTTTTAATCACAACAATAATGAAGGTAAAGCTTGCAAGGAAAAATGTTGACTGAAAACATTCAAGTATATCTTGATAGAGCAAAAAAACAGCAAAAATATTCAAGATTTACTTTTGAAGGGAAACACGATTATTGGTGAAAGTATTTGAATATTAACAGGTATCAAGAGGGTAAGTTAATTAAATGAAAGTTGTGATGTGCTGACTCTTGTTTAATGCAAGCCTGAGGCTTCATTTGTATCACTATCACCATCATCATCTTATCATGTTTCGTATGATGATTAAGTTTAAGATGAGAAAATGTTTACAAGAATAAAAAGGCGGAGAAGTTGGAAGCTACCGAATAATGAGCCTAACCAAGAGACATATTTTTTCCCTTTCATGGGATCATCAAGACGGTGGTAAAGAGGAGATGATGATCAACATAAACATGAACATCATCATTTCCCTTTGGATTGGCGTTACAAATGATTACCGATATTTGGCTGAACCAACTTATACTTGATCGGACCGCAATTAACATTCTTCCCTCAGATAAATATCAATTTCGTGATTTAGCCCAAGGATAAATTGCTACTGAATTGCATGGATCATTATTATCATCATCATTACTATTATTATTATTATTATGTGCATTTGTTTTGCTACTGTAACCAAATGAAGAAACCTCACCTTTAAAATAACATAGAGATTTAGGCTTGGCTTGGTTCACTTGAATAAGGTTAGGTTGTAATATTAATCTGACAATGAAACAGTAGCTTCTCTCTGGCATCCATTTATACAACAATATTAAATCATATCTTGAGGCTTTCAACCAATTATCTGGATTCACTATTAAACTATTATGTTTATTATCACTTCTATTATTTTTCAAGCTTCTGGTTTTTTCTCTCTGAATATAATCTTCAATCTTGACCAACAGATGAAACTGATTAAAAATTAAATCATCTTTTGATTGCATCCAAGTCGATTATCGCTGTAAAGTTATTATACAAAATGAGATTCACTTTATTCCCAAACTAATTGACTTGCATTTATTTATGCTTCCATTGGATCTCAACTTGAAATATTAACAGTCAATAGTTTCATCTATATTTATCACATTGAACCATTATGTTTCATGATCAAGATAAAGTTGATGATCATGTTGGTGAATGGCTTGGCTATGGCTAAAGAATGGAAAGGTTAAATTGTCCTTATGATTGAGAGCATTTTGATTGCTGATGGTTCAGCTTTTCAAAACAAAAATGATTACCATTTGATTGAAATACATTTTAATCTATTAAATTGAGATAATTCAAAGTTCAATCAAAAATCATTTCAGCCCAGCCTTTCATTCAACTCAATGCAAGCAATAAAACATTAATCCATTTGATTCTAAAATAATCAACTTTAATTCAAAATAAATTTCATTTATTAATAATAACGATGAAAAGAAAGCAAAAAAAGGTAAACTTTTCATTAAAATTTTCAATTTGATTTCCAGGTTTGAAAATTCAATGTTAACCGAGCTTATCCAATTGATTAACCAGATTAAGGTATCAATAGCAAAACTATTTCACTCAAAACGAACACGAAAATGTTGAGAAACTAAAATTTCATTTCACATTGAAAATTAATCAAAAGATTCAATTCATTTTCATGTTGGCAAACTCATCGCTCCGTCTTTTTGGTAAAAGACAAAAAAAACAAATGAAAAGATTGAATTGCGTTACAGTTAAATGTATTCACTGATGTAATTATCATCAATATGCAATTGAATATTCAGCTTTCGCTTTAATTGGATCAAAATTATCTGCAATCTTCTTCCTCTTCATCATCATGCATCATCACATCATCGTCTAGACTCATCATGCAAGGCCAATTTTGTCAAATCCAAATGCGATTCCACATTAAATATGATAATTATAGCAAGCCTGGAGCAATGAAAACCTCTGAACAAATAATTTTACCTTTTATTTGCTGATGATCATTTCATGCTTATTTATCATTTGATCATCATAGCCTATACTGCATCATCCAAAAGAGGTTTGACCATCTTGAATCACTGAGTAAACCATGAAAAGTTGAAATTCTATAGAACAATAAATTCTTATTCACTTTTCTACTTTGCATTTTTTTGCACCAAACTGTTGATTCTTTGACAAAACTTGAAGAGATTTTGAATAATTTACAGAATTTTTTTTCGACCAGAATAATTGACTTTTATTAGAGTAATCAAGTTGTTGGTCGTCTGTTTTCAGGACAAAATCAAGTAATTTGTATCAATTTGTTTATTTGATTAAAATTTTATTGCACGAGAAATGTGATTAACTTGGTCGAGTACAGAGTTTAGGTAAATGTTGATGTTAAAAAAAGTAGTTTAATAACATGTTATTAAGATGGATTAAGAGAAAGGTTAAAAAATGTTGATTATATGATAATAATATTATTACAAAATGATGTTCAAGTTGATTGTTGCTGTTGATTGTCTTGTTGTTGACGATATTTGATTGCCAAAATAGATGCGGCCATTAAGAAAAATTGTAAATTAGCTTCACTATTAAAGGCTCCTTTTTCATCTGTAAGGTTAATTGGTGGAGTTATATTGTTTAAAAGGCCAACACCGGATAACAAATTGTTATTATTATGGTTTAAATTGTCGTTATTATTATCATTACATCCAATTAAAGGTGATGTTGTCGTTGTTGCTGTTACTGTTGTTGTTGGTAGTGAGGAAGCTGAAGATGATAATGATGGTGATGTTGTTGTTGTTGTTGACGATGATGATGACAATGCTGAGGAACCTGTTGATGATAATGAGGATGCTGGTGATGAGGATAAAGGTGAGGATGAAGATGAAAGAGAGGAGGAGGAAGATGAATGGGATGAGGAAAATGATGTTGGGATTGAGGCAGGTTGACAGCTTTTAATAGGAACGCCATTCTGTTGATGAGTCTTTAAATGAGCACGTAAATTGCATGCTAAAGCAAATCTTTTGTCACAAATTGTGCAAACATGAGGTTTATCACCTGAAAATGAGTAAATAAATAAGGATTAGTTTCGATTCAATTTCAACATGAATTGCAAATAACTTTTGACTTTTAATACACTTGATGCTCAATCAATAAGTTTATCCCTTTTTGTCTCAATAATACAAAATAACCGCTTATGAAACAAGAAATTTCAGCCTCAAATCAATCTTAACGCTTGTTCTGAGCTCAAAGTATACCTTTGACTACTGCCCGATCCGATTGCGAATCGCATCACGTCGCATCAGCATCAATGCTTGACCTTTCTTGGTTTTAACTTTTCTCACTCTTTTTATAAACATTTTCAATTGAATACAATGTATTCCTTTTGATTCCAAATGTTTCAATAATTTTATCCTTGGCAAACCTTTCGATAAAGCACTCAGACGCACTCTGATCTAAGATCATCACTAATCTTCACTGGTACTATTTTCAGACATTTTAATGAAAGAACCAAAAAACCTTAGCATTCAAATTGAACTTGAAAATTCTTTCTGAATATTCTGAGAACTTGACTAAACAATAAACTGTATGGCGGTTTACAGTCATGAAGAAGCAGAAGCAACTTTCATATGAGCAAAACCAACGTTCAAGATAAAAATCGGCTGACTTTAAGACTCAGAGTTTTCATAACAAAAACCATTTTCAAACGACTAAAAGTTTCATAAGCCAAAAACTTTCAAGCAAAAGAGTCACTTTGATATAAAAACAAACTTTTTTGTCATCAATTTGTTACATTTTAAAACATTTTCTTGTTTCATGATGATGCAAAATAACCCGATTAGTTTCAGGTAACAGTTGCAACGTTTTCATAAACTGATAACTTGTGCTTTACAACAGCTTCCCATAAAGTTGTTAAAAATGTAAATACGCAATAAATGTTGATATTGAAATGGTATTGTTAACAAATAATTGCAACGTTTTACCAATTTCAATTAGCAAATAAAATTTACACTCTGTTTAGTTAATTAACTCAATTGAATTGTGTGTTAACATGATGGGTTTGGTTAGAGATGAATATGTTTATATTTCATTTACCACAAAAAAGTGACTGAACAATAACGATTCACCGATTGGTTGCAAGAATCGTGAAGCTTGAAAAGCACTCAACAAAAATCATACATTTCATGTTGAGGTTAAACCAGCCATTAAATTAGCCATCATTATTATCATTATTATAATAACAGCAAAATCTGGTTAAACAAGTATTGAATCAAGTGAAAAAAATGATAATAATAATCATTGAAAACCTATAAGAACTTTATAGAACAATAGAAATTCTGGAGAAGAAAAAAATTCCGATACCGAAAAGACTATCCAGGAAATTATGATTAAGTGAGAAGCAAAAATTTTACCAAAAAAGTGATTACCTTGATTAACTCCAGAATTGAATTGTGATTAAGCATTTAGTCATTTGTGAGTGACTTATCCATCAACTCGGGATAAAGCAACACAAGCAAGTAAGTGTTCAACATTTATCATCATCATCTTCATTTGATTCTTATATTATGCCTGAAGGTCAATTAGAGTAACCACAATTTCAGAAGCTTCTAATTACTATTTCAAGTTAACAACTGGAATACCTTTTACCAATAAAAATGGTTGAACAACAAGAAAAGATGAGATTCCCTTTGAATTGAACTTCGCTTATGACCACGACTTAATTGCTGGATAAAGGGTGATACACAATCGTGATCAACTCTAATTGAATTTAACCACTTTAACTAGATTATCTTTCTCACTGATCACTTCAACTGCCAATAAGCCCTGAATCCTCAATAGTTAATATGATTAAATATGTTTTACAATCAATATCAATAAAACATCTAATTTTCTTCTCATCAATTTAATCTCAATGATCATCTTCCTTGATGCAAGATGACGGTGATGATGAAGACGGAAAAAAACAAGAAAAATCAACTTTTCTTCTGAACTTCTTCTGTTGAAATGAATCACTTATTATCGTGAGTATTCAACAAATAAACCAACAAAATGGATTCATTTGGGTGATTTTGTTCAATGAGAAATGAAAGAAATGAAGAAAAAAAAATTTTGCTCAAAAAAAATGGTTAAACCTTTTCATCTTGCAAGGTAAAAATATTTTTATCAATTTTATGATTCACCAAATTGATGGATTGATCATGATTTTTTGCTCATTGTTCAACAAGGACATTTTGTAATGAGCACAGTTAATTGATAATTTAATCTGATAACTCGTGTTCACGTGCAGTTGATCTAAATATTTGATTTATATCAAATGATTGAACTTGCCAAAGGTAAAATTGCTTAACATGGAACAAGTGATTTATTCAAGAGTTTGGAATAAATCATGATAATTGCATTTATTAACACAGGTAATGATTAAAGTAGCCAAACCTTGAAAATTGCTATCAGTGTTGAACCATTAAATTGATGCTTTGGTTAACGGGCGAGTTGAGCCTTTACCAGACACTTTACACTGCCAATTGAGATCTTAACGGCAGATCTTGAGTTATTGGCTTTGCCTTTTCTGAATAAATTAGACTCTTTTTTGCATGCTAATTAGACGGTAAAACATGATTTGCTAATTGATTATCAATTCAGTTGAATTATAGTTTCATTTTATAGGAACATTAGGCTTTGAACTTTAAAGATTGAATATTTAATCAGATTAAAGTATTTTTGTCATTCGTTTGATTCGTTTTCCTTTTGAAATTGGTTCAATCATTTGATTTGGTTGTCGGTAAATCATGAAAATAATGAACCATTGTTTTTACCTTTAATCATTATTCATGTAGTTTCAAGTTTTGAATTTTTCTGGTTTAGCTTATTCTTTTCATCCTCTATCTTGTCATCATGGTTTTCATGTTTGCTGTGCTTTTTTTTGTTAATATCTCAACCTCTCATCACCATTTTACTCTGAATGATGTATTATCCAATGGAACAATTCAACAATTGCTAAAATGGCCGAGTATTATTATGATGATGGTGATGAGGATAAAGATAGTTTATGATGGTTAACATGAAGCAAATCTAATGATTAGCCAAGCGGAAAACAAGGTAATACAAAGTTTGACTTGAGTTTATCGTTTCAACAAGTATCCAACATTTTGTTACCGATGGCCAATCAATGGGAGGTCACAACAAACATCAACATCCAGCTGAGGTCATTTTCAAGGTTTCCATCAGTTTTACAATCATACAAAATATGCCTATTCTAATAATCTAACAGAAAATGTTTCATTATCTTTTTTTTCAATTCACATGATGGATTACAGTTGTTGGTTTGTTGTAACTTAGCTTTTACCATTATCATGCACTGATATCTTTTAATACACTTTGCATTTACAATAAACTGCTCAAGCTATTGTAAAAGATCAAACATCTTTAATAGTTGATTGAACCATCCGTCAACTTTATCAAAACTTTGACTCAAGTTGTCATCTAATTCAAGAGACACTGATCCAATTTTTACCCCAACATTGACCAATATCTACAAACTGTTTAGGCTCATCATCATTGGTTACACAGGACAGTCAACCTTGTCCTATCGCAGTTGACAAAGACATTCACTAACTTGACAGTAACGTGAACTATTAACGGGGAAAAGCTGGTTCAGTTTGACAAGAATCATACTTTGGTCTAGAAGGGAAGTTAAACAAAAAGTTGATGCAGAGTCGCATCACTTTGTAAGTCACTTTTAGTCTACCTTAGAGGGACTTACGATAGTTACATTAGCAAAGTCTTACTGTTGGCCAACATTAATAACTTTGTTCGGAACATTTAATTCTGTGTTGATCTTTCACTTGATTAACCTGAATCTGAAAATTGTCTGGCAATTTAGTTGAACACTTGTCTTACCATGATGAAACTTGAAGAATCTAAATTGAACTATTTCTATAGATAATGAATAATCCTTGGATGCAAGTTTGAATAATGTTCATTAAATATTTTTGTTTTGTTTTCTTCAATAACTTTGTTTCTTTTTTGACGTTCAACGAAATCTGGGTTAATCGATAATATATCGACATTATTAACATACATTATAATCAAGTTGAACAAAGGTATTAATGAGTTTAAATTACAGGTTAACTGTAAAAAGGAACATAAATTAAATAACAAAAGAATCATGATTTGATCTAATATTATTTGATTCATTATTAAAGTCAAGTAAAACAAGTTCAATCAACGTGAAACCAGGCTGAATCAACTTTTGTTCAATCTGTTTTCGACTTCATTTTCCATCATCAACTCAATTCAATATTCAAATATTGAGATAAATTTAGATAATTGCATTTAATCTACATAAATAATCAATTTGATTGTCACTAATTAAGAGGATCATAATAGTTTGGTAACAATTTTGTCTCTTTTTTCTCTTCATTATTCAGCTTTTCCATGTTTAAACTGTTGATAAAATTGTTGATCAGCTTGAGCAGTAAATCAATTATTGAATAATAAACTCAACTTGATTAGACTCATATTGAAATTAAGAACTGGTTTAACATGGAAAATGTTTCAAATAATTCATTCTTCCAAATGAACCTCAAACCTGATGCCATTTGCATCTCATCCTCTAAGGGTATCATCATCCTCGGTATCAGCAACATCATCCATCCCATCATCTTGTTAATCATCATCCTGGTTGTCACCATAATTGGTATCGAGAAGAAGGTTGTTACTTTCAACTGATTGTACTTCAAGTGTTGACCACATTTGAAAGCTTTTCTGTTATCCTAATTAATTCATTATCAACACATCAACCTATTGATCCGACAATTGACTTTGTTTGCATCTTCATCCCAGGTCAACATGGAAAAGCACAAATGCTAACAACTTCAACTTGAACACCACTCAGCAGTAGGTAATGCAAACAACTCAGAGATTTACATTACTGTAGATGAAAAAAAGATTAAAACTTGTTAACATTTTTTTTCTTGTTGCTGTACAATTTAAATGATACAACTAATCTCTTCATCACTTGCACCAAAATATTTATCAATTGATTAGCGTGTTAATCC